CTATCTGGGCCCGGGCATTTGCCAGGGCCATATTCTTAACTGCCCGGTGAAGTTCTACTTTTGTTTGGGGAGCGTCCAAATGCTCTTTGATAGACCTCTGAATTTGCTTCCTTGACCTGTCATAAAAGTCGGAAACTTCTGAGAGGTCTGAGTCAAAGTTGTCGAAGGTGTGACGGGTAGACACTATGTCTCTAAAGTATTCCAGCGCATAGTGACACAAATCTACCGTGTCAGAAGCTACTGGCGCATCCAAGGCAAAAGCGTGCACTAATTTAAGCCAGTCAAGCCAGTCAGAGTTGCTTCGCACTTCCACTGATTCCAGCTGCAAGAGTGCTTCTTTCCTTTGTCCAGTCATATTAGTCCGTGAACGTGTTTGCCATCATTTCCGCTTTGGCCTTCTCTACAAGTTTACGTAGCTTTAATTCCTTTTATGATCTATTGGCCGCCTTCATTCTAGAGAATTATATCAAGGCGGCTCTTCTTATGTTTACACCCACGTTTTCTCGTGTTTCATCGTTATCAAATATATCCTTAGCCTTAGACCAGCCCTCCATTTGATTTGTGATGCACATTGGTATGCCCTTATCCTTCAGATTATTTATATTTAATCTGAAGGGTGACCTTTCCCGTGCCACCACATCATTGGAGACCACGTCGACGTAGATGGGATAGTGGTCGGGCATAGAAGCTATCATTAACTCAGACGCTCAACATCTATCCCACAAAACCCCTCTTGATGCGACGTAATGTACTCTCCTGCACGGTATGGGGGCTCGAGGGTTAGGCCTAGGTCCATGCCACATGTATCCCTGATCAGATGGGGTAAGAGTCTTGTATGTATCAACCAAGGATTGAGACTAAAAACATGACAACAGGAGTGATGAATCAGCTCTAAGTGGAGAGCGAACCGAAGAGTCCAGTCCGGGGCTCAGTATGGTGTTCCAGTCTCCAAGGTGGCCAGATTTTTCGTATTTGGTATGAATGTCGGAAGGGAGGCGAAAAAGTCGGTCCTTACTATATAATCAGTTGGGGCATAGAGAGACATGATTGCCCAGTCCTCTTGGATGGCCAGTTTTACCCACACCATCGGCCCTGCTAGATCTATGATGTGATCTAGAACTGAACAGTCCACGACTGGATGAATCGGGATAGTTGTCCCACCCTTAGTTCCATCGGTCGGGGCCCAAAATTGTGGGCCCTGCCACCAATCCACTGCGTCGTGTATCTTGTCGGGGTTCAACTTCGTTTCTTGTAAGCACATTATCTGGACAGATTATGAATGAATCCATGCCAGCAAGTGCTGTCTTTTGTAGCGATGTGAAGTGTCGTCTAGACCTTTAACGTTCCAACTAGCTATGCGGATTTTACTGGGCAGCACCATTGGAGGATGCTGCACCATCGGGCCCTTGGATATGGCTTGGTACTTCAGAGGGGGAGGTTTTGATAAAATTATCTACGACCACTTTCTAGGCCGTTGGTGGAAGCCCTGAGACTCATATCATTGATCGAAATTGATGACCTAATACTATTAAGATAATGTCCTTGCCGACCATCCAATCGTAGATAAGTCTTGGGTTAGGCCTAGGTCCATGCCACGTGTATCCGTGATCAAATGGGTTAAGAGTCCTGTATGTATCAACCAAGGATTGAGACTCGAAAAAGGACAACATGAGTGATGAATCAGCTCTAAGTGGAGAGCAAACCAGAGAGTCCGGTCCGGGGCTCAGTATGGTGTTCCAGTCTCCAAGGGTGGTCAAATTTTCCCTATTCGGTATGAATGTCGGAAGGGAGGCGAAGAAGTCGGTCCTGGCTATACTGAGATGGTCCACCTCAGATCGTTGTAATAACACCATCAAACCCGGTGAGGAGTCCGAACAAATTAAGGGGACTAGGAATTCCTTGACTGATCCTGACATCTTGTCAGTTCCACCCAGAGTGGTCATTGGGGCCGAAGTGATGCCCAACCTCAAGCCCAGCGCGACTTCCTGTTTCGAAGTGGAGGGGGGCCGGAAGTGTGTAATAGGGGTGTGCCAAGGATTTTAGGAAAGTGGGGGTGGATCTCCGGTGCGAAGTTTCAAGGACAGGAATGCAAGTGGTTCAACGTAGGGCCAAATTTTCGGTTGACGCCATTCCCAGAGCCGAGCGGCTAGTTTCATCGGCCTTGTCGCCTGGGGCGGGTTCGTACTCGGTGCACAGAGGGGACACAATTTATGTCTCTCTGTGTAAACACGTGTTGTCGACGAGTTTCACAGATTTCAAAATCTGACATGGACGGCCTCAGTCGGAGGCCTTGTTCTCGGTGCTCAGCTTCGAAACGGGTTCGTCTGACAAATCCCGCGGCTCGATAGGTATAGTATTATTGGCACTTAGAGCACGGCTTGTGACGCCAGTAGGGGGCTATCGACTCCCAAGGAATGACCATTAGATTATGATAAGGGATAGGAAGATAGAATGCAGGGAAGTTGGTTTCAATGGTGACGAACCCCGACGTTATGTAGCACTGGTGGTTACGGGTGTCCGGGTAATCCGTACGCTGCCCTTCTGGAAGTCCCAGGCACACAACTGATTAGTCTCAGTTTGGCACGGATAGGCTGGGAGCCTTAAGCTCGATCGGCGGAAGAGTTGTTCGTTTTCCCAATATTCTCGATACTCCGGGTCCCTTAAACAGGTACGGTCGGTGATCCAGAATGGAACACCGATGTCCATATTTTGCGAAACGGACTTAACTCATTCATTCGTGTGTACAAGGCGCGATTGAGTCGGGGGCGGATCATGCAGACACGCATATACGTTATGACTATCATTCTGGTGGTCATTCGTATACGTGCGTGCACATGATCTGTTTCCAACAGAATTCGAGCCAATTTGTTACTCATACATCTAATCTGCTCCTGGTATTACTAGGAAGATACGATACCTATATACCTTGTGCAAATCAGACAACCGTTCGATACAACATACATCAACTTACAGGCAGAAGAAAAAAAATGAGAAGGAATAATATTCCCACGCATCAGATGTCAATTGTGTGTGGACCATGCATAAGGGAGATCCAACCCATACCTAGAGGCGTGCACCAAAGCGGTCTTCGAATAGACTGTAAACTACCCGCTATGCATGCATCTATCCTGACCCGGGTTTATTCGGGGAGATAGCTTATGCAGGCTTAGCGCAAAAATAAACAGTGCATAGAAACGTGCTTGTACAAAGGGGTCGGGTTCCATACATCTTTCTATACATCAGCTGCATGCCTATTCCATACACATCATAATCCCTTGGCTCGATGATCGATAACCATCCATGTTTTCAAGTCATTCAAGCAATTAATCAATTCTGGCTAGTGCCATGTATTCTGCACCGAGAAGAACGAAATGGGGGAGAGAAAGATAATTCAATCAACGAAAAGGAAATGCGAGATTGCCGCAAACGAAGATGGCCGAAACCAGAAAATCAAAATTATATAGAGGATGTGAAGAGAGAACACCACTGCAACACCTCTCTCTCTCTCTCTCTCTCTCTCTCTCTCTCTCTCTCTCTCTCTCTCTCGCTCGCTCTCTATCTATCTATCTATCTATCTATCTATCTATCTATCTATCTCTATCTCTCTGAGTTCCCACGATGCAGGACGTCTGTCGCCTGATACCTACCACCAATCCAAAGTTGTCATCCCGCTTAGCCCGGGCATGCAAGCCAGGTTCGCTCGTGTGCCATAGTCCTTCGCTGCCACACCTCAACCCCGCATACCTAGCACGGATGGCAGCACCAGCTCGTCGGATCGCCCAACTCCCTACTCACCGTCCTGTCTCCGCTCGTTAGCAGATCCTCTCGACCACGCTAACTTCCAAATGTAGATTAGAGAGAGAATTAGTCGGGCTTGCTAAATTTATAGCATTTTGTATTTGCGCGAGATAATTCTGGATTATGCTGAAGCAGGAGGTAGAGAGGAGGGAGTGCCTACGCGTGCATGACGGGGCCGCGCCGTGGGGGACGTAGCTTCTCTTCACACATCGACCCAGTCAGGCACCTGCTTGGCCAATGAGATAGACAGTAAAGAAGCACAAAGTTTTGCGAGGAAAAAAAAAAAAAAGATCAAGAAGGGAGAGGTTACAGTTACACATGCGCTTGCCGAGAGGGAGTAAGAAGAGATTACAATTGCGATTAAAGTTTAGTGCGGCAGGAGCAGAGCACAGGACATGGCGCAACAAGGTGGGCGCAAGTAAGGAGCACCGCGCTGTTATAGCAGTAAAGGTCTGTGATAATTTACGATGCCCCCAATTCCTAAATCAATTAAGGTCCGGTTTCCGTAATCCTTCGTATTTCAAAATTTGAAAGATAAGATTTCTCCCGCACGATGATCGCGTCAAAGTTCCCCTCCCCACTTTTCGTAGAACACGAAAGAAGCTATGGCAATAATTGGTTTCACACTCGCTAAGGCACAATCAACTACCAACCGACGTGGGACCAAACAATTTTCAAAAAGACGGGGCATTCATGCAATTGAGCGGGCCCCTCCCGATCAACCCCCGAAATACCGTCGTGCAAAAAGTCGCGTGTTTACAGAAAGCAGTTCCTCACATATGTGACGCCTAGGGTATTCCAATCTTATGCAAGCTCTTGCTTGCATATTCCATGTCCTGCACACAAAGAAGAAGGAAACAAGAGACGGAGGAGTAAAGGAAAGAAGAAAAAGGAAAGAAGTGAGAAGATGTCCATAGCTAAGATCGTTGTCAATGCCCAATCGTTGTGCCGCCTTTATTGCTGCACTTGTGATGATCATTGCCCCTCCGGTGGCACAGGTAATCTCAATACAGGTGGCGGGGGGTGACGGGTGAGATTGCAGAAGCGGCGGGATGAAAAAAGCCAATGGCCGCACCCTGGTAGGGATAGCCGTGTACCGTACTAGTCAATGGACACGTGGAAAACACCGATTGCGATGCGGAAGGGAGGCGAGATAGTCGGGATAGAGGTTACACAGGGTGCACAAGAGATCGGTGCAGCATCGTTCGTATTGTGCACAGGCGGGGATCGTCCCTGTGATCAAGCAGTAGACTTCAATATTGTTGAAGTCTCGTTATTCTAGAGAGAGAATCAAGGGGACAGCGAGAGAATGACTAGGGACGTCGCCTGATCGTCCGCATCTTTGCGTATGCGAAGGGATGGGCGGGCGGAGGGAGTGGGTGAGGGGCTTCGGGCTCTTCTCCGGCTCGGTTCTGCCCATGAGGTTCTGCCATTGTGTTCTTCTTCCTCCTTTGGTGACTCTGGATCTCGTGAAGGATCGTCTGTCGGTGCCTGCGATATTGGACGCTTTCCTTTTGCACGCTCCTTTGCTTTTCTTTCCGCTTCCTCGTCCCTTCTCTCATGTTCTTTCCCCTTCGAGGCCTCGCTCGTTTCTGCACTTCGCCCTCCTTTGCTTTGCGACACGTTCACCTCCCAGAAGAATGGATCGACGAAGTCGTCCAGATCCATGTACAGGAGCGACGACGAATAGTATTGGATCGGGTCGTAGTTGTTGGAAAGGCGCGTCCACAACAATTGCCACATCAACGTCCTCTCCAACATACCCGTCTCTGGGTTCTTGTCACTGTGGTACAAGATGTCAAGGGGCAGGTCGTCGAGGAGTTGCACGAGAGGCACTAGGAATTCCTTTGTGATTGGTCCGAAGTGATCAGCGCTCACCTCCACGTCCGATTTCCACGCCTGTACGCTCAACCATTCAATATCCTTGTCTAGATCGTCAGGGTTGGCTGGCTCGGACCACGTGACTTCAACGTTAAGCAGGCAAAAACTGAGTGATACGAAGTCCTCCAACGAGATTGCCCACCTCTCCTCCTCTAATTTCGGCACCGGGACCGCTGCGAGCTTGAACGACAGAGGCAGCCGCGTATAAGACTGCCACAAGGTCGGGAATTCTAACCGCGACATGAACGTGGATAGCCGGTGCTGGTTCATCGAGCCTACTCGAAGGGGACCAGCTCAGGCAGGATCACCTCTAGATCCGTCAGGCGCCGCCGGATCACGTGGGTGTCGATGTTGTCCGTACTCATAATTTGCTCTCCCCCCCGTGCAAGTCGGTGCCTCCACATGGTCACCAATTCTTCTGCCCAGCTCTGCAATCGAGGAATACATCTCGCATGGGTGCCTTCGTACAACGTCGAAAAAAAACCGTTGAAAGAGATTAGCACGGAAACGTGGCTAACCCCTGGAGGAGAATGTCATATAAACGCTGATCCCTCAACCAAGACCCTACCCGACGTCCTGAGATGGACGATCTTGAACTCAGCCGCCGCGTATATACTCGCCGTGCTGAAGAACTGCGCGAATCGAAGCAGGTCCGAACTGAGTTGAGGATGATGTACCTGTCGTACAGAAGAGAGGAAGCCTCGATAATCTGCTCCATTGCCAAAATCATGGTGATGGCGGAGACAAAGAGGATAAGTCGAGAAGAGAGGGGGAAGAGGGGGATTCTGGTTCCTCGCTTTCCCACTCAAAGGTCATGAAGGAGCTATGAGGCGATGGAGGGGAGGAGGCAGAAGGAGGATGGAGATAGGACACATGGCGCATGATGGGACGAGCTGATCGGCTGCCCGAGACTTCCGGAGCAAGGCGCACCATGTTCACCCTGTTCGATCCGAGCTCCACGACGTGGAATTGGCCAAAGAATCGTGGCGCTAGCATATGCCCTGACGAGCACATTTCCTTACCTGCACGATGTCCTGGGGCCGAGGCCCAGCGTTCCCATTCCGGGCCTCATAGCTTCGGACCTATCGGCCTTGGGGCCTGGGCCATTTCGGTCATTCACTGTCTTTTCCGGACTAGTCGAGGAAGGGTCCATTCCATCAGTTCCAAGTGGCGCTTGACCTTTTCTTTGGCCGTCACCCTTGTAGATCGTCGACCCAGCGTCGTCTCGTCATTCAGGCTCAGCAAAGCTACGCAAGCCAGGCTATTGGTCCGTAGTTGGAACGGGTACAGACCCGTAGATTCGAAAGGCGTACCACGATGGATGGCCAGGATGTGGTCCATGATGTCGGGCTAAGGTCTTGTGTCCTTAGCCGCGATATTCCGCCATAGGGCTGGCTTAATCACGCGGTTCACGTTTTCTACTAATCTGTTCTATTGTGACATATGGGAAGCAGTGTTCCGAATGGAGACGACATGTACGACCAGGCTCCTCAAAGCTTCCTCTCGAAATTCTGCTCCGTTGTCCGTCAAGATTTCCTCGGTGTCCTGGTGCATCCTGAGGAAAGGTTAACGTGCTGTACGATTTCCGCCGTCTGTCTCGTTTTGCACGGGTTGGCCTCAATTCATTTGGAAAATGATCTACAAATGCTAGTAGGACTGAATACTCATAGCTATTAGGACCTGGGGGAACCACGATATCCGTCGTATCCACGCTAACCCTCTGGAATGGTCGTTTGACTATGGCTGGAACAATGGACCTAAGCGGCTGAATCGGCACCTTGTCGGCCAAACAGACCGGACAGTTTTTTAACTATAAGTTTGACGTTGTCCCTAATGTTGGACCAGTACCATTAATTTTTGTCGATAGCGGCCTTCGTAATTCGGATAACGAAGTGGGCGGTTGTCTCTTTGTGGGCTGTTTTTAACTAGTCATATCGCATGAAGGGTTGGGGGACGACCATCTAGAGGCCACTGCCATCTGTCTTCCGCTTTTCTAACCTCCCCTCGTTCCATCGATAGTCCTTTGCCCTTTCATTGGACCTCCTACGATCCTCCTTCGAGTATTCTTGGAGGGGGGTTCCCTACAACCGTCGGCAACAGCCCACGCCCAAGTGCCAACTTCGTCCCTAGCATATGCCATCCAACCTCCGACAAGTACACTGTTCCTGTCAACTTTAGGTCAATATACAGGTCGTCCCCTGACCCCCTATCGAACCTCATACCATTCCACAAACATTCTACCATCATGAACTCCTGGTCCCTTCCCAAGGTCACAACTCTCCATTCAGTATCAATCCCTCGGACCATGCAGCTTGCCGGGAGTGATACCTCCCATCCGCCTCCACTTTTCGCGGGCGGCTGGGGGTGCGTGGGCCGTCGCGACATCCGGGCGCGTCTCATTGCCATTGTTGATTAGCGGTCCCCTGCACAGTTTAAACAGCAAGCGAGTTTTGCTTATTCCATTCATCCCTCGATCCTACTCGAGCAACTCTCCGGTCCTCAAGCCGATATCCTTTTCCCTTTTTACCCCATCTCTTTCCTTGTTTCTTTTATCAATCCGCCTTTACCCCCGTTGGCTCATACAAACGGTACAACTCATCTACGTAAGTCATTCCCCGACTTATCTCTCGTCGAACAACGCCCCATAGAACCCCGTCGCTAACGACCGGAGCCCTTGGCCTGGTGGTAAATACGGCGCGCAGGATTCACAATACTTCATACCTCTGCTCACCGCTGAACGGCCCCATTTCTATGAAGGTCCGATAATACTCCCGGTGGACCATCGCATCGTCGAGTGTCAGGCTGTCGAGGTTGGCTACCGCCCATCTCACAAGCTTCGCGTGATTAAATTAGTCGTCCTAGTCGATCGACGCAGAGCCGCGCTCGAGAGATCAGCCCCCGGAACGTCGGCTCGGCTGCGGGTCCGATTAAGGCGTTGAACCACGAGTACCTCGTATGCTATAGTGAACAAAATCGCAATCGGTTGGGTCAACTCTGCGATTTCACTCGAGCATTCTACGTGGTCCGGTAGCTCGGCGGGGATACGCATGTCCACGGGTGGTGACAACCTCTTGAGCAGAGGTACGTTATTTCTTGCACGACGTTTATCATGTCGTAGGGGTTCGTGAGAGGTACAACTAGCGCACTCGGTTGAAGAGGCAAAGTTCCCTTCCGAAAAAGTCCTGCAAAATTTTGTGTAACACGACCGGGAAGGTCCCTCGACGGGACCAATGCGCTCAACAACGTGCTTCATTTCGAGACGTTACTAACTTTTCCTCAAATAGAATACATACTTTGTATTCAAATAGAAAGCATGAGTTGTGTTTAAAATATTCAAATATAACGCATGCCCAATAAAACATCCAAGTTAAATTCAAATACAAATCAGGTTTGAATTCGAATACAACACATGCATGATATTCGAATATAATATCGAATATTATACGTTGTAAGTTCGAATAGAAGGCATGTGCTATATTCGATCATCATTCGAATAGTACACATGTCTAATATTTACTCAAAATAAAATTAAAAAAAATAATATTTACCTGGAAAAACCCTGAATTGGCTAATTCTTTGCCTTAAGACACTAGAACCTCCGTTAGTATTGTGAAAATAGGAAAAACTGAGAGTTTTCTCTAACTCCTAGAAAGTCGGGGGTGGGGCCCGATAACGACCGCCCTTGATAAACGTCACCAACGACCGTCGTTTCATTTCCGCCTTGTAAGAGATCGGAGGTTTAGTCGAGGCCTCCTTATTTTCCCAACCGTTAAAGGTACTAGTGGTTTAAGATTATGAAAAATAATATTTAACCTTTAAGGCTTTAAGCCTTTAACTACTTTTAAAAATTGTTAAGAAATTTCTAGAAGATCTAAATGTGAGATATTATTTTTCCAAAAATATCATAAAATCATAAGGTATAATACGCTACCACCACTTGCCCGGTCGGACAAAAAACAAATAAAAGAATAAAAAATAAAAAATATTTTTCAATTTTTTTTTTTTTTAGTTTGATAAGGAATTTTGATATGACCCTGAGGCAAAAGTTGTTCAATTTAATTTTCTCCAAAACATAGTTGTTATTTTTTTATTTTTTTGATATGTATTTTTTTTTTTTTATGGAACCTTCCTTGGTCTTTGCAGGGTCGAGTTGCCCAGGAAAATAGGGTGATCCTAGCGGCCCGGTTGGTAGCTTAGAAGGTATACATATTTGGCTTTTGATTAATTAAAAAATAGGTTACTTCAGTACATAAAAAAAACGAGTTATAATTGCATTACGGGGCAATATACAATTTACAATTGCACTTCAGACAATCTACCTTGCCAGAAAGATGGGTTGCATACATTGTCCGAACTGCAATTCCAAACGTTATCTTGACCCATAGTGCAATTCGAACTCATTTTTATGACTCCCACGTAGTTTCCTTTCAAAAAAATATTTCAAAATTCTGAAATAAAATGAGGTCTAATAATTTTGAAAAACAATTAAAATTTTTGAATGAAAATATTTTGATTGCTATTTTATAAATATTTTTAAAAATATGTATTTTTTTAAATTCGCAAGGGTCACCAACCAGTACATACGGAGGTCCCCGGGCCGACCTCCGTCTGTACGGGCGTTCGGGGTCCCGTTTGGGGTCCGAACCCGACGACGTTTGGCCCCCGCCCAAACTTATTTCGGGGCCTAAACATAAGTTTTTTTTTGTGATTTTTTTTTTCGTGAGTTCTCTATGATGTCAGGTACATGCCTATAAATGTTGAAGTCATTTTGTCAAGCTAAACAAAAATTAAAAATCGCCAAAGATGGCGGTGTCAAAACGTGTTCGCCCATTCATTTTTTTGGTTTTTTTTTCACTTTTCACCTAGGCTATCAGTCGGGCCGCCCGGGCCCCGGGTTACCAGCCCGTGCAAGGACAAGGGAAGGTCCCAGCAAAAAAAAAAAAAACTCCAGAAAATCTGAAAAAATACTATGTTTATGTAGAAAAATAAACTAAACAACTTTTGCCTCAGGCTCACATTCAAATTCTTTACCAAATTTAAAATATAAAATAAAATTTTAAAATATTTTATTTTTTGTGATTTTTTTGGCCTGGGCGGGCAAGTGACTTGGGGCCACTCTGGTAGCCTAGCTTTTCACTTTTTTTTTTCACTTTATTGCTATGTTACCAGTTGTCCGATGGCAGGACGTCCTGGGCAGATAGTCAGGGGGGTGCCGGACGTCCGGGCCCGGACAACTCTATTTTTAGCAATTAAAAGCAAAAATAAAAAATAAAAAAATTGGGGGGGTCTTTATTTTTTTT